TCTTCCACCTATGCCCAGCAGGGCCCTCCACTTTTACATATTCAGCTGAAGCCCTGGATCCCCCCCTAAGTGCTCCCAGGCTGGTGGTTTAGACCCTGGGAGCTGTGGTTGGTTGGTATTGTTGCTCTCCTCATGGTGCCGTAAATCCTTTCAGCTCCTTCAGTCTTCACTCTAACTCCTCTATTGAGAACCCCATGATCAGGTAGATGCTGATGTGGAAGACAGGAAGTGCATGCTGATAAGAGCCTGATATGGATATCTCCTCAGAGGCCTTCAAGAGTCAGACATATTCAGAGGCAGATGCTAACAAAAATGTACAATTTTAAAAATGTCTATTTTAAAATATTTTAGCTCTTTTATAAATTTGTACATAAAATGTGGCGCGTGTGTGTTTGTATGTGCGCATGTGTGCACTTGTTTAGAGCATGAAGAGCCCTTAAATGTAAGGGCTGTTAAGACAGCTTAGATGGAAGTAATCACAGCATTAGGAATGGCATTCTTGTTGAATACTATATCCATAATTGCTAGACATTCCACAGGAATTGGCAGGATCTGAGTAAAATGCTTACATTTGAAAAACTGAACGTCTGCATGGAGTATAGACTGAGAAACTTTGTCAAACAGCAAACAAATTTTGAGATATCTCTCTTATTAAAAAGATCTTGAAGGTTGGAAAGTACACACCATGCCTTCCTATATAGTGAAATTCTCTAGCGTTTGGAAATGAAGACCAATCATTCAAACATGTTGTTTAAGTGGTGAACGCAGTCATTTTCATAGCAATCTATGCCACTCAAGAGACAGTCTCTCTGGAACTTGTTTATTCATGGAATCAGGAATTTAAAGCTGAACTTTGTAAGAGGGGGGGTATTACTGGAGGGACATTGCCAAGTGAATTTCATTGAACTACTAAATCGAATTACTCTGGGCTGAAATGTCAAGTGCTTGCCATCTGAGGGGTGTTTTATTTATCCAGAAGAGAAATCAAATAAAAAATAGCTCTCCAAGCTAAACACAAGTTATAGAACAATCCCTCCAATGAGAAGAAATAAAAATAAAATTCTTCTCATTTGTCCAGTCTCCCTCATCCCAGAAGTGCTCTGGAGAGATCGTTTACTCATTGTGGAAAAGCTGCAGCCACTGGTCTGGAGACCTGATAACCTACGTGAACCACAGCTTGTTACAAGATAGGAAGTAAAAATAATTTACTTAGTTGAAAAAGCAGTAAAAATTGAGTTGGAAAAATGGAACTCCCTGACTTGGAATTTGTCAAGTTTGGTGTTGCCTACAGGGACAGAGAAGACGTGATATTTTATAGCCACACCTGTTCTGGTCGATTAAAACAGGAGCCCATACAAAGATGACCAACCTTCTTTTAATCATTCATTGTGTCTTTGATGAACGCCACACAATGGAAAGTGTCTGTTCTCATGATGACTAACTTAATGAGAAAATACTGATAGCCATATTTACAAGACAATAAGGCCTCAAAGACGAACAGTATCATTTCTATTAGTTCTTTGAAAACTATTTCCCACAATGTGTTTTGATCCTGCTCACCCTTCCCCCACTCCTCCAAGATCGTACTCCTTCCCTAACCACCCATATTTGTGCCCTTTTTTCTCAGTCCCATCAAGTCCAATTTGTGCTACCAAGATATTCTCTTCAACTGGCTCATACATCTTCCTCTAGGAGTGGGACTCCCTGTCCACCTCCCCTTCCCATATTGACATTTTGTCTCTTTGAGCGTCTGCAGGCCTAGCGCATGCTCTCATAACCACTGTGAATATGTAAAGATGTTCCATACATGGATGGACTAGTAGTATGTTTCTATATGACTTCTTCAAATGGCACGTAATGTTATTTACTCTTCTCCCCATTCTCTCCTCTATTCTGCACTTCCACTTCCCAACCCAAGAATCTCCAAAAACAACAAATATTTTATAGTATTTCTTAAGTTTCTTTATTGAGCCAGAGTCTTACTATGTAGCCTGGCCATCCTGGAACTCAATATGTAGTATACTGGTCTTAAACTCACACACATCCACTTGTGTGTCTGTCTCTCAAGTTCTGGGAATAAAGGTGTGTACCAATATGCTTGTTTATATCTTAACTTTAGATACAACTTTAATTTTAGTTAAGTAATTCACTTTACTAGAGTAAAACTGAATATTATTACTAAGCAAGTGAAAGAATTCAATATGCATGCCTTTTCTAAAATTTGGAAATAAATTGATAACAGCTTCTATGTTAAAAAGAATTCAGTGGTCATACGGAGTCATGTTCCCTATGATCAGAATCTAATCAAACTGAAGTTAAACATTAGTATAGCTTGTTCTCCAAATGTCATCAAGGCCTCATTTATGTTAGTAGCATACATGATAGCTCGTGCCTCATGTACAATATCTTTTATGTGTTTAGCCAATTTCTTCCCCCAGGGTACTCACAAATATTCTATCAAAAGCTATTTTAATTACTATTAAGTATTTAACAGTTTAAAAGCTATTGATACCCTGAGATTTGCACTAAACTCTATTGCTGTGTTACTTCCTTGCGGCATTCTAATACCCTGAAGAAACTTAGGACTTAAATTACTTAATAAAATAAAATAAAATAAAATAAAATAAAATAAAATAAAATAAAATAATAAGCACATTATTTGGTGGTCAGCAAAATCAGAATCCATGAACTGTTTTCTTTGTGTCCCATATTTTCTTTCTTTTCAGCTGTGATGTTTATGGCAATATACCTTAAGGTCTCTTGTCCTTTCTCTTTCAATCATATGGATACTTATGGTTTACATATTAT